ATTGCTAGTAGAAAGACACAGATGAAAAATGAAGTTGAATATTAAACGCTCAACATCTCGTATGGAAAAGTCGAGGTGTTAATCCGTCGTTGACAAGTCTGGAGTAGTAGAGGGAGGAATTTGCCCTTGAAGTGAAGAATAACAAGAGAGACAATAAAAATTGAAAAGTTCAGCTTTATCCGCATCTGTGGAAACAGATTTGGAGCCTACAAACAAAGACTGGGGTAAAGCGGAGTGAGAAGAGGATAGTTTCTCGATAGAGTTCCAAAACTTGCGAGGAAATAAAAAAGAGAGAGATCGGAAGTAAGATTTTCCACGACGATAGAGAGAAAGAACAAGATTTCTTGCTTTACGGAACTCAGCAAGGTTAGGAGAAGTATAACGGCATTTAAGTTTTCGAAAACGCTGGTTACGGGTAGAGATAAGATGTGCAAGCTTTGGAGAAAGCGAGAGAAGAGTAGCCGTATAAAGGCCATAAGAGAGAGAAAACGGTGTAGTTCAGGCCACTGGGCTTTTTTAAAGTCATAACGGTAAGTAGAAGGAAAAGAGGTTGAACAGATACATCAAAAGTAGCAGATAAACAAAAATGAGGAGAATAGCCAATAGGGGGAAAAGACGAGAAAGAAACATTGTTTCAGAAAGAAGGATAAAAGTGACAGAAAAATCAACAAGAGAACACAGAAAAGAACTAGAGAGACTTTGAACATTGTACATTTCAGAAGACACATGGAAGTTAAGATTAAGATCAGCACACAACAGGAGGTTAGAAGAGATAGAGGAATAGTTAGAAACAAAAGTGTGAAGTTTATAATCAGGTGTATCTCAATAAAGTTTCTCTTTCTATTGTGTCGTCTGTTCGCTGTCTTATAGTTCTTGTTTCGATCTTAGGTGGAGTGAACATGCCACAGACATGTCTCTTACTTGCCAGCGCAAGCTAGGTGCACTGAGTTTTGTCTTTAGACTAGCTCCATGAGAGGTTTGGTGTCGAATCTATCTTTCTTCTATTCTTCCTAAACTAAATTATTGTTGTGCCTTATATAGTAGCTTTTTCTCGTTTTTTGTACTTACTCTGTAAATAAATTTGCCTGTCGTGTTATTTCTCGTAATTTTGATTATCGCTTTTCTAACTCATTACTTGTGTCACAACTTACTCTTCCAAACCTCTCACTTCGCCGTAAATATTTTCGACTTGTACACTTTTTCAAAATTTATCATTATCTTAGTCCTCTGTCCATCTTTTACTCTATCCATCGTCCTCATTACTCTTCTTTACATTGTCATCATCCTAAATATGTTCGCATTCTAACCTTTGTCAATGGTTTTTCTTCTCAAACAGTTTTTTTCTTCTTTTTTCTATTCAACTATTACTGACTGGAATAAACTTCCTGAGACAGTTATTTGTTTTCTTTAACGTCTTTCTAAAAGACATTAGCTTAGTATCTCTTACAGTAAAATTCAGTCATGTTCCTAGTCATAATAAACTTGTATTAGTTGTTTTCTCTAACATTATTTTATTTGTGTTTATTTTTCATCATTATTTTTGTCTCTAGTTTCTTTTTCTCTTGTTTATTTCTGTTATTTTCTTTTTCCTGTCTCATTTTTATAGTTTGGCTTGAGCCGTTGATATTACAGGTCGGGAACCTTTGATGACCCTCACTTTTCGTGAATAAACATTATATAACATATAATACTCTGAAATTGTTTGAATTTTGGCATAAAAATCACTCTCTATGTTTATATGAAGGCTATTATCTCTCATTAGTCTGAGAGTGTTTATTTGCGAGCAACCGATATTGATGGCGCCCAAATACAGCGATAATTTTTGTCTACTTAAGAAGTTTGTTAAAAGTGTTGATGCCATATCGCTACAGTTCTGTAACGGATATGTCTTAGGGTTCCGTATGATTCAGTTTTTCTGGATTGAATCATAAGTTTGTCGGAACAGAATAAATTAAGACTGCGATAATTTTTTTTCTAATCGATAAAAGATTAACAAAGAAGTACTAAGTTATTTTCTAAAATATTTTTTTCTAGAATCAGTTCTTGCTACAGGTTTAGGAATCGTATCTAGATCGAACCATTATTTGTCTATTTTGTTGTACGTGTATTTTCCGTTGGATTTTAGAATATTAACTTGTAGGTTTATATCTAGGTTACTAAGAAAGATGAACATCATTCAAATTAGCTTGATGAGACTACAGTTATCAGACAAAATCAACTTTCTTTGAGTTCCGTTCTTTTCTAGTTGAAGTTCGTGAAAGTAAGAAATGTATCCTTGTAATTTTTGTTCGAGTCAAGTTTCCTTAACGATACCATAGAACGGAAGACTCTGACATAATGTCACTGTCTCTTTTCTCTATCACCAAGGTTTTTATTTTCAAGAAGGATTAATTGAATAGATTCAAGCATTAAGTAAGACAAAATTTTTCTTTTTTTAACTCTAATTTTCTCTTGAAATTATTTATAAATTGTGTATAAGGCAGACTGCATGCGAATCAAGTTTTAAAGATTTTAGACTGAAGTAGATTTTGCCACTTAAAGTTAATCCTTTGTTCACATTAACAGCACGACTTAGAGCAGCCCTAAACTACCCATAGTTTGAATTATCACTACATTAAATAGTCATTTGTCTTCGTTAATGTTTTACGATACTGTTTAGCATGATATTTCAAATCACTCGATTGATATCGGTGAAATAGAATAAGATAATAGTTTTATATTACAGATTTGAAACGACTTGCAATAATCTTGGAATTTTTTGAATTCTTCGTTCGCGATATGGACGCATTTCTACTAGCAATCTTTTTCGGTAAGTTTCTAAATCTCCCATCAAACAGAATATTTGGATGCTATTTTTCTTTGTTTGTTCAAGGTAGTTTTTTTCCAGTCTTTTCTACGATCTCAACGCCAGCACCATCTATTTATAATGTATTGTATCATAAATCCATGTTGAACCAATGTCCTGTTTCAAATAATCCAAATACAACGTATTCTAATCAATCATTGACATCATCAGTAATCTCACCAACAACCGTATTAGATGATGTTAAAAATTACATTATCAAACGCAGTAATCAGAATAATCCTTTAACAAATATTCTCCAATTTCCTTGTGTTTTACAGAATTCAACAAATGAAACAAATTATACAAATATTGTTAAGTTAACAGAAAGTAATTATCTAATGAGGGTACCACCAAATTTGGATTGTTATGTTTTATTATTTTTTGCTCAATGGTGTGAGTACAACAAGTCTCTTTTGTTTTATTTATTGCTAGATAATACTGTTTGTTATGTTCTCACAGGTCCCTTCTCGATTAAATTTGCTCCATATTACAATGCCGTTCCACGCATATTTCCGGGCTTAGATTTTATTGCGTATGATGTAACAAAATCGTTAAGGTATACGCTTGCAACACAAATATAAATGTGATAATAAACACTTCGATGTTACAAAAAGGAAATAGACAGTTTTGTACAAATTATAGAAACGATTTATTTTTAACATTTTTTGCTTAACCCTTTCCAGCCGGCTGTTTCGAAAACACAGCAAAAAGTGTTGCCAAATGGCAACATCAGGCTGGAAAGGGTTAATCATAATAAAATAGCCAGAACAAATCTGAAAAGTGATTTTAATAGATGGGAGCGTTAAACTAAGACGTCTTCGAGCTCTCTATGATATTCTTACATTAAACTGCAATTCATTATACGATAGATCAAAAAGGCTTCTTTTTTGTTTCTCGTAACTTTTTCTGACACGTTAGGATCTGTCATATAATGAATGTAGTTTAATGTAAGAATATCATCGAGAGCTCGAAGACGTCTTAGTTTAACGCTTCCATCTATTAAAATCACTTTTCAGATTTGTTCCGGCTATTACGATTAAGCAAAAAACGTTAAAACAAATCGTTTCTATAATTTTGCACAGAACTATAACTTTTCATCGGTTTTTTTATGTTAGCTGACTTCACTATTAGTTTCACTATTAGCTGACTATGATTTTGTGTACTTTTAGGTACATGACATATTTTGGTTCAAACGCTGTACCATCTATATTTTTGTTACGAAAAAATAGATTATTAGCTCGATTAAATAGCACAAAAGATATTCAAACCCTGATTTCACTAATTGAATCAACATTGCGTAAGTCAATAAAATGACGTGAAGCCGAGATAAATCAAATAAAGACTAAGAGCAGTCTAACTTTTCATCATTGTGATTTATCTCGAACTATGAAAACTGTATAACTGTTACACTACTTTGAAAAAGGAGAGTTGGTCATCTAATCATCCATGATGTTTTCTCAAGGGGGAAAGCACGAAATCCTGAAATTCTAAGGAATCTAGTAGAATCCGGAATTCTACACTTCAAACAGAACAAAAGCGTTCTATATTCTGGGAAACTTTTTCCCAAAACAAAATGTTCTGTTTTGGGGAAAAGTTCTGTTTTGGGGAAAAGTTCCAGAGAATCCAAGGGAATCTTATGGATTCCAAGAGAATCCTATAGAATCATAGGGAATCCTTGGAATCCAGGAGATTTCAGGATTCTAGGATTGCGTGCTTTCCCCCTGGTGTTTTCTACACGTAAAATTTCATATCCATAGCGTATGATGATGTACTATAGCTTTTAGCTATCCGAGGAAGTCTCTTGGGACAAAAGATAAGATTGATTTTTTCGTTTGTTGTAGATGTGAAAGCAACTGAAAATATTACAATCGATGATCGTGATTGGATAGGTCCAGTTAATACTGTATACAAACCAGCATTTAACTATGCCTTATTAATGTCGTGGTTATTTGTCGCACTGTTTTGTTATTATCATTTGGACAAGCATAATTTGATTTCGTTGATTAAACTTAAAATAAGGATGTTTATAACATATTTAGACCAGTATAAACGGGCAGTGAGAGAAAAACAGTCTTGATACTTACTCATTTTTCTTTTTGTTTTCACCTGTACAAAATTTTGTGTGTGATTGCGTTTGTTATTTATTATTTTCGTAAAACAATAGAGATACACACTTTTCTTATGTTTGTTTTCGATCTGACTATCTTCAATAGTTTTTGCATAATTTTTGAAACTATGCATTTTGAGTCATTTTATTACATATCAATCAATCAGTCAATCATTAGAGATTGAGAATATGATTCCGTTTGTTACCTTCCTTTCTTTACCAATAATGAAACTGTTAACAGTATATTCTGTCAGCAATGTGTATTATTCTCTCTAATTGTTTTTTAATCCATATCTCTTCATCTATACCAATGATGACGCCTACTACCATCGTCCAAAATATTCAACAACAACTAAACTTCAGTTAAAACTGATTTTTGTGTTTTTCCATAGTTTAAGTTTTATAATACTATAATGACTTTATTTCTACATATATTCTGAAAAAATAAAGCTTAAATGGTAGTTAGTCTAAGATTTCAAGGTTTAGGCTTTTTTTATAGTTAAAAAACGGTTGTTACAAACAAATGTATTTTGTTTAAGCAAAGTCGAGTTTTGAAAATGAAAACGATGTATTTTAGTGTTAGAAAAGAGACAATTCTAGTCTATAGGAAAAATTGTTTTTACTATTGCTGTGCATGCCTTGTTTGTATAAATTGGTTTATTTTATACTACTTTTTCAACAGTTTCGTTCTTTTAAGAGCGTCTACTATTTGACATCTCATTATCATTAATTTCAAAATTGCTCAAAATCCAATTCAAACACTTAAAAATTGAACATAATAAGATAAGTAGATTGAATACGTAGAACCGTGCAAAAACTTGAAAATCATGTTTTTCTCAAGACTACAAAAATCTTGAATACCTGAAGGATAAGAAAATATTCTAGCTCTGTCAAAGTACAAATCAACTATAACAAAATATTTTCTTCACATTTCCAACCAGTATTCAGGTGAATTTTGAGCGAAGAATAGGAATATTTTCTTTTCATAGACTCATAGTTGAAAATATGATACTTCAAAAAGCATACTCACTTCGTTTCCTCACTATTTTAAAATCTTTTGAACAACATCTTAGCGCAAATACTCTTGTTTTCGTGTTTTCTTTAATTATTTCTGTACTGTTTGTTGTTAGTAGTAATCAACTCTTTTAAATTTTGTGGTGCAAAAGAATTGTGCCTTTTCTTTATCGTTCTCTATTTTACCTGAAAAAACTCATGACTGTATATATAAAAAAAATAATTTTGAACCTTGATAGAAATTTGCACCTTAGGGAAGAACCTGTATTCAGATGGGAAGGAATAATTCGGTGAAGGCAAGCTCGCAATTGAAATCCTAAAAATAGACGTTGTTTGTGCTTGTGATTGAAACGCACATAAAGGTAGTGATATTACGCAAAAACGTTGTATAATTTAGCTCTCAAACGTTTTCTAGACTTCTAAGGTATATGCCACACTCAAGTTACGAAAAATCAGACTATAACTTAATTCTTTGTTTTTTTAGTGAATAGTACTTTAATAAGGGTGGTCTTGAGCTTGACATATGATTCACTTGTACTTTTTTTGAGGTTGTAATTCGAAATGAGTTCTGTTGTTTTATTTTAACGTAATTTTGGACAGTATTTTTTAAAGTATCTTAAATGTAACCAGTATAGTAGCTCTGTATATAAATTTCAATTGTTTTTTTTAAAAGAATATAAATCCTATTTTATTCAGATTAGATATGTCGAAGAAGGATGCTGTTACTATTACTGATGTTCAGCCTACAACGTATCGTCGATGGGTAATTCCTACTCAATATCTTGTTTTTGGCTCATTAATGGCTATTGGAATATTGAACATGACTAAAGGGTTATTTCGATTTAGTTTTGGATTTGTTGGTGGTCTTGGTTTCGGAATTGTAGCAGGTTTTATGTTTGCTGAAAGTTCTGTCGGACAATATTTAATATATCAACGATCAAAATATTCAAGATCTTAGAAATTATTTTGTTTGTGAAAAGGACTCTGTATTTTTTTAGTTTAGCTATTCACATAAATCAGTTTTTTACAATATATCGACAGTATGCTTAACAAAAAAAAGTAAACAATCATTTGTTTTTACTCAAAGAGATACTTTGTTTAAAGGAATTGTATATGGAATTGTGGTTGAAAAAATGTGAAAGATCTGTGACTCGGACTGTAGATCTCGATCAACAACGATAGATTGAACTTCTACATTAACGCAATCAAGTTATTTGTTTGCACATAAAATTGAAATTGTTTAAAAAGAGAGATACCATTAAGGTTTTTCCCCTTTTTTCACTTTGTTGACAAAAATGATTCTATTGAGTTCAAAAATTTTTACCAGACATAAAATATCGAAAAAGAAAGTTGATGTTTTTATTGCCCATATTTATCTGACATGTTTCAGATGTTTCCGACGAGGTCATCATGCACTTTAATTGGAACCATGAGTATTTTGAATAAAAAATCCATTCATCATCTCTCTTCTTATCAAAAATCTCAGGAAATAAAGAAAGAATCTCAGAAAATAATATTACTCTCCCAAGCACTTGTCACCTCTACTCTGCCTCTCTTTACTCAAGGTGTTAAAAGTTACATTTGTAAACAAAATGAAAACACCTAAACTTTATATTGTAACGCTTCTTGTTTTTTTTGTTTGTTGTTGTTACTTACTCATGTCTCTTAATTGTATCTTCATATTTCTATCCTTTGGCTAGTATTCAGTATTCAACTCTTTTGTTGTTGTTCTCACGATTAGTACGCCCGCATTTTTCTATGAAATGTTTTTTCTTTTAAGTTTACCTTTGTTACCGCCATGTCTAGCGAAATAAGCTGAAATTGAAATTTATAGGTAACAATGAACAGATCCCTTTTTTGATGACACGATGCTTATATCTCCGCAAAAACTCTTTGAAGAGTTTGCGGAATGTTTCAGGATCAAGGAAACACTTTCTTCTAACAAACAATGTTAAAGAAAAACGTGTTGAAGACAATGGAAAGGAGAAAGAGAACTTTACGATATTAAAAACGTGAGATTTTAGCAAAAAATTGAAAGTCATAACTATTCTAAAAAGGTGGTGAAACACTGGAAGGGATTTTCTTCGGTAGTTCAGATTTTTCTCTAATTGGGCTGTAGTCCAAAAAAATTTCAAAAACGAGGGAAAAGTAATTATTTGTGCTAGTTATGATCAAGGATGATATATGTGATTTATGTGTTACAACGCAAGTCCGTAAGTTGGCAAACTATTCTGATAACTACTAAAGGTGTAGAATTCAATTATTTTTAGATAAATTTTTTTAAGTATTTGAATATTCGGAATGGCTACTGACACCCCCCGGGTGGCAGCAAGAAGCTATTGACACCCCCATCAAACTGGCAGCAAGAGCTATTGACAGTCCAAAATGCACTTATACACTGCACAAATGTGTTATTCAAAGTGTTATGTTGAATTAAGTCTGAATTTGACGGTCTATGAGAGGCCGTTTCGGGTGGGTGGGGTGGCTGTGCATGAGAGTGGGTCACTAGAATACTTCCATATTGCCTCGAGATGATGGTCTTTATTGAATAACACATTTGTGCAGTGTATACGCGCATTTTGGACTGTCAATAACTACTTCTTGCTGCCAGTCGTGAAACGGTAAATAGCTCCTTGCTGCCACCCCGGGGGTGTCAATAGACCTACCCATTATTTTTTAACTTGAATCTTTCAGAACGTACTTGTTAAGTTATTATTTTATGAGAGAAACTAAAAAGCTTTTTATAGCTTGTTGTAGTTCGAGTGAACAGATTATTTCCTATATTATATATTGTATTCTGAAGAAAAACGGATGTTTAAAGATCCAACAAATAGTAATCATTTCGAAATAATAAATCAATATATGATTAGAGAGATCAGATAAACTGAATAAATAACACGATAATAGCAACGTTTTTTAACTTCATTCAGATTTAATTTTAAACTATTTTTGACGTTTCGAACTATATAAAGTTTATTTTCAAGGATAAATATATTTATAGTGTACGTAACATCATTTAGTGCAAGTAAGATAGATATAGCTATATATATATGGAGTGATATTATAGTTTAATCTATATTTTATTAGTCAGCTGAAATAAGCAGATAGTCAGAAATCGCAAAGCATTGTTCCTGGCTATCTGAAGAAACGCAACATAGACAAATGGAATAACAACAAAAAATAAAAATCATCATTTAAAAAAAACAGAAGAAAAGTTAAAAAGAAAGGAGAGGAGATAGGAAAAAAAAAGTGGAAGTAGAGGATATGTACAGTAAGTTAGCTGTTAAATCGGTTAGAGTATTTAATAAATTTTATAACAGCAGAATAGATTGCAGAGTATCCATCATGTTCAAACCTATTTTGTAATAGCAGATTTTTAACATAGGGGGGTAGGAGGGATATTATATCGCTCCATATATATGGTGTAGATCCCAGATATACACATAGTACTAAAAGACAAAAGGAAAATCAGGAGAGAATGAGGAATAAAACGAAAGAAGAAAATTCAAATCATTTTATTCCTCATTTTCTCCTGATTTTCCTTTTGTCTTTTAGTACTATGTGTATATCTCTCTATATATATATATACCTTAATTGCACTAAATGAGTTATATTTTTGTTTTCATAGGTTACGTACACCCTGAATTCTTGAAAATGAACTTTATATAGTTCGAAGCGTCAAAAATAGTTTAAAATTAAATCTGAATGAAGTTAAAAAACGTTGCTGTTATCGTGTTATTTATTTTGAAATTATTGTCAATTAAAATCGCATTAATATCCAAAAATTTAAAATAACCGTAAATCGTTACTATTTTTCCAACTTAGAAACTAGCGACTCATGTGCTTGATTAATAGTGTCTACTTAAGCATTTTATGAATGGTTCTCAATCAAACTAATAGGAGATGATTTGGTAGTCAGGTGCCTATTTATACGAATTCATTTAATACGTATCGGCTCTTTCTACCACATTCGAATACCATATGATGTACTATCAAAATTTAAGAAACTATCCATATATTTTGTAATTCTAAGCGAAGGCAGTTTCTGCTAAAAATTAAGCGAATAACTGCATAGTAATGATGCATTCTAATAGCAAGATCCCGTAAGATAAAATCGTGTAAATAAATTAACAGTTGTACAAGGAAGTCATCACATGAGAAAGTTTTTTTAATGAAAACTTAATAAGATAGACTTTGACGGACGGTACGAGATACTAAATGAAAGATCTATCCTAAAAGTTTCACTAGCTTCGGCAGTAAGAACGATTCATGGTAAAATTTTAGATTTCAGCATGAATAATTATCTCATTTTAGATTTAAAAGAAATATTTGAATTTTGTAATTAAAATGGAAGGTAAAAGTCTTGATGAATGGCATGATGCCTCAGCTGACCACTCAAAATTACAGCAACAAATGTCTGTGGATTCAGAGGTATCATCAGCAACACAAGACACGCAAAAACAATCTACCTCGAAAAAGAATTCGGATCCAGCTTCCTCTTCATCTTCAAGCTCTGCTAGTCCCAATAAAACCGACCAAGAGTTAGATGAACAGCATAAACAATCTGGTAGTAAACGTACAATGGAGTTCAGTAGTAAAATAAATATAAATGTCGATCTAAATTGTGGACCAGCGCCGCTGTGTTATGAAGAAAAAGCCATTAAAGAACGAGAACAGTGTGATTATACGATTAAAATAACAAAAGAAATGGCAGACCAAAATACAGCACCAAGAAAGATAAGAATTTATGCAGATGGTACTTTCCAAATCTAAAAACACGCTGAATGATCTATTCTTTTTAATTCTACTATTTTTATATCGTTCTATTTTTAGGCATTTATGATTTATTTCATGCTGGTCATGCTCGTCAATTAATGCAAGCTAAAAATGTATTTCCAAATGTTTATTTGTTAGTTGGTGTTTGTAACGATACATTAACAAATGCAAAAAAAGGAAAAACAGTTATGAATGAAGCAGAGCGATATGAGAGTGTAAGACACTGTCGATATGTCGATGAAATTGTGACCGACGCACCATGGGTAAGCATACTATATTTGTCATTTAAAATGAGGTTATCTACAATGTCTTTCTATTGTCCTTTAGGTATTAGATGATGAGTTTCTAACACAAAACAAAATTGATTTTGTTGCTCATGATGAAATTCCCTATGGAGCAGATGGACACGATGATATTTATCAACATATTAAAGTAAAAGAGAAAAAAAGAAAAACTACTCATAATTCGAGTTTGTTGAATAATATGATCTAACAAAATTTTATTTATAATTTTAGGCACGTGGAATGTTTGTTGTTACTCAACGTACAGACGGTGTTTCAACAAGTGATATTATTTGTCGGTTGGTTCGTGATTACGATATGTATGTCAGACGAAATTTGGCACGTGGTTATACAGCACATGATTTAAATGTCGGATTTTTAAAAGGAAAATCGATTCAATTTCAAAATAAAATGGATACAGTGAAATCAAAGATTCGAACATATGAAGAAGAAAGTAAAACATTTATGGAACGATGGGAAGATAAATCAAAAGAATATATTCATAGTTTTTTATCGTTATTTGAACGAACAAGATTGGCTCTTCAACGTACACGTTCACCAGGAATGTTGACGGGAGGTGATAGACATGAATTAGGAAGTGGAAGTGATGAAGATATCGATGATTATCAAGACGATGGTGGAAACACTGGTGAGACACATATTGAATATAAAAATGTTGATGAAACACATAAAAACAATAATAATGACAAGAAAACAACAGGTGCTAACGTTGATAGCAATGACTAAGATTAATACTTTTAATATTACTACCATTAAATGACAATTTTTTGTCACCAAATAACTATTGCATGGAGTTTAGAAAACATCTCAGTTTTCCATTCTAAAGCTAAACTTCAGTAATAACTTCTTTTTTTCCAGTAATTTTCTCAGTTGATCTATAGTGCTTAGTCTCGAAATTGCGGTAATTTTTACTACAACTCGGACTATTCGAGTTTTTTTAACAGTACGTTCTTATCTTTTGAGTATGAAAACAATTCAAATTGACAGGAAAAAATGCAAACAAAATTTTAAATTCCTATAAGCATGTGTTATGTTTGGACTAGTCCGTTCATCTCTATAAATCAGCGTTTATTTCCTCTGGTTATTACAGTGTCCTTCGCCAGTCTCATCTGTTTATGTTTGTCATTCAGCTCTGTTAACTTTTTGCTTGATACGTTTGCTCTTTTTGCTGTTGTAACGATGCTACTCTTCCACATTTCTTTTTCTAACATGCTGTATTTTAAGCATACACATATTGTGGAAAAACAGATGTTTTAAGTTTTTGTTATTCTGCAGTAGCAATCATTTTATTGAGTTTTACATATATGTCTTGTAAAAATTAGAATATTGAATTCTTTTTTTAGAAATGGTCTTCGATTTCTTTTGTACTGAAGCAATTCATGTCTCTTTCTCGAACATTAACTCTTATATATATATACATAAATATATATAAACTTAGTTTTTACTTTATTCTGAACTATTTACATTTTTTTATTTTTATTTGCGTTTATTTGTGACTAATTTATTTTTGACTGAATTAAAATATTACATGTGTTTAAACATCATAGAATGGAGATGTACGGATGTTGAGTACGGCGGAACTTTGCCTGAGTACATCGCTTTTTAGTGTGCCTCATATGAGTGTATTTTCATTTTGGTGCGTTTTCAATTACACTATTTATTCTCAAACTATTTTCAAACTTTTGAACCGTTTATGTTACCACTGTTTACCATTAGCGGTTAGTAATTTTTTATTTTAATCTCAAAAAGCTTATAAGCATGATTTTGACAACGTAATTTTACTTTTGAAAATAAGTTACTACGCACGTTTAGTAGCAGCAAAACATCTCACAATTGTCAAAACATAATCTGACAGATTCAGTTAGCCCTGCACTAAAAATCATCTGTAATATGTTGTATTGTTCTATTTAGTCGTTAATATTTTTAATTTTTCGATTTGTACATGTATCAGCACGTAACGTTCAATATCATGTTGAACTAAGACAATTGTGCTTGAAATGTTTCAGTTAATCGCCATACAGTCCGTTGTCTTTGCACTAAAATGCAGCGAGACCTTCTGTACCGTGGTTTGGGTTAGATTAGAACTGGGTGCAAAAATCCAAAATTTCTATCGTCCGTTATAGACTTGTGTCTCTGTAGTGAATAAATATTGATCAAGAAAATAAAAAGTGGTTAATGTACTTCGTGTAGTGAGTATCCGTTAGATACTCTATTATTTAAACTGACTAACTAATTCAAAATCTACCAATGACAAGCAAGATTAGTTAAGCGCAAGTGTGCGCTCAGCTTTTGCGCCTAACTTATCCTAACCCTTGGCTTCGTATGGTTATAAAGTAAAACGTCTGTTAATAAACTCTACTCCATTTTTTTTCAAAATCGATTGTCAACCTCGCATGCGACATAGTGCCGATATTCTAGAATTTATTGAAAAACATGGTCTTAATCAGTATTCCACAACTGAAATAGATATCGGAATTGATAGAAAAGGTTACTGTAATGGTTTTCGAAATTTCATGGAAACACTATGGTGCTAAATATTTCTTATGCTATTTCCTCTTACGCTGCATTGTTTTTTCCTGGAGTATTACACTTTTAAGAAGAATAACAAAGTATCAATTATTTGGAACATCTATGGTTACTAAACAGACGTAATTAATATTAAAAAAACTAGATTTTTTACCGACGGTTTAAAAATAATCTTAACTATGGACAAACTACTACCAATCTTAGCAGAATCTTTGTTTTTCCTTGGCTACTGCAATGCCGCACATTGGAATAATAACAACTGTATATATGAAATACTAGATGAACGAATAAAAAAGAAGGATGCATTTGACATTGTGCAGAGTATCCGAATCAGTTATTGCAGAAATAACCAACAGGGTATTTTACGAATGATGTTCTTCTAAGTGTTCGTTTCTTATCTCGCGTTAACAGATCGCTATATGGCATATTGTCAAAAAGTTCATCGACGTAGTAAATGATCTACTCTGCGTTTAGGCTAACAAGAGATCATGTACAAGGCACGTATTGTCGTGAGCATTTCAAAATTAGTTTAACATACGTTTATAAATTCGAGCGCACGAATAAAAAATGACGGGTGGACAATGACTTCTACTATCTGCAATGACAGTTTTCTAAAACTAGCGCATTTTATGTCATGTGCGTAATGATGTAGAATCAGCTATACTTCATCACAGGTTGATTGCAGTAAGTGTGTTGGAAGAAATGGAATGTCTAACATCATACGAACTATTTTAGGGAACGTATTGTTAAAGAAAAACCAACCAGAAATGACTCTTGGTAATAATAACTGTTGTTGCAAACCAGAAGAAGGAAGAAAGGATACCTCGCCTTTTGAGTTACCGTTGCCGGTGTAGGGCACTACTGAATGGCCGTTTCAATAGCTTGATATCTTTCCTGTAGTTGGCAAGCTTCTGTTATGGTCATCCATATCGTTACTGATCATCAACCGCAGCTCTGAAGAGAAGGCTAGCTTGACGCAGAGTTCTTGCGTTACTTGGGCTTTCCCCCCCCTCACTAACCACGTACTAGCTTTCCGGAAAGCTACGCGAACAAGCCCATTGTGGTCACAACATAGTGAGTATGCTGTTGGACAGGTGATCCGAGACACTAACAATGGAACGGTTTGTACGGTCAAGCCGCTTTCAAGTTCGGAGCATGTGTATTAGATAGACCCCGGTGAGGTATAAAAAATCCTAAAAGACTATGTGCTGATGAGCCGTCCCTCCAGAGTTACAGTCATTATACTGGAATTTTAGCCTATTGCATGGTATCTACCAAAAACACTAATCACGATATTTCGACCTGAAATTTTGCTCACAAGTAGGCCTACTTGTAACTAGAATGTTCTGCAAATTTCAGTTCAAAAGAATGTTCCCTTCATAAGATATTGAATTTCCCAAAAACCTGACATTCTCCAATCTTTTCGTAGAATGTGGGTGATTTTGGAAATTCAATATCTCAAGAAGGGAACATTCTTTTGAACTGAAATTTGCAGAACATTCTAGTTACAAGTAGGCCTACTTGTGAGCAAAATTTCAGGTCGAAATATCGTGATTAGTGTTTTTGGTAGATACCATGCAATAGGCTAAAATTCCAGTATAATGACTGTAACTCTGGAGGGACGGCTCATCAGCACATAGTCTTTTAGGATTTTTTATACCTTACCGGGGTTTATCTAATACACATGCTCCGAACTTGAAAGCGGCTTGACCGTACAAACCGTTCCATTGTAAGATATAAGTAACTTGTCCATGGTTATACATGACCTGGCGGCGTCGAGGATCGAACACAGTACGTTTGAAATACGTGACGAACAGCATAAGCCATGCCGTCTTGACGACGCTGAATCCGAAAGCGTTTGGGTCAAATCAAGAAGCATCACAAAAGTTGAAATATTTACAAGAGGTCGCAAATCAGCTGCTCAATGTGAGGGATATAGTCATAGAATTGAACGTTATCAAAAAGAATCAGTTTCGCGGAATTGTCGAGAATGTGGTTGTCCATTTGCATTCGAACATTTGCATTTTTGGATATTGTTAAAGAGCAAGAGTCATAGAGGTGTAAAGGGTTAATTCATTACATCCTGGGATCATCGGAAAGAAATGGCATTTGTATAGTCCTTAGACAAACGCCTATGACTGCCAGTTGGCTCGGCCAAGAGCGGCGGAATGGCATTTTTTTGTCTTTTGCTACCTCTGTTTGCCGAATCACGCAATACTTTAGGTTGAAAAAGTAATGTGAGTCTACTAGTGCTCTCAGCTCTGAAAATTGCAGCTTGATTGATTGCATTGATCAAAAGTTATAGCGAATAGAGAGATCATGACGAAATGATAAAAAATGGAAATTTTTTTTCAGGCCTTTATGAATTTTCAGTATTATTCTGAAGTGAGACTTTGAATGAAAAAGCTTAGTATAAAAAAGTTGTAGAAAAATTCTTCGGGTTTCCAGAATCTCTATTTACTTTTGTTTGTATGTGTTTAGATCAAAGAAAAAGAGCCAAAATATGCTTCATGACGGAATGACTTTTGTGATGGAATGACATCGATTTTCGTGCTTCCAATTCAGAAGGTTTCGTCATCCTTTTTCCGATAGTTAAAACTCACAATAAACCATAATTTTAATCGGCACATATACTATTAAATTTTCTGCAAAAGATAAACTCAAAGCTTTTTGTTAAAGCTTCTAAAACTGTCTTAGAAAGAGCTCCAAAATAATTTCGTCAAAAAATAGCGAAAAATAGTAAAAAGTTCCTTCTTTTTTTAATATTTTCCTCGATGTTCAAACTTCAAAACAAATAGTGCGTTTGGTCGAGAATTCAATTTTCTATCCAGCAGCATAGTTTTTAGATTTTTAGAACAAGATAAGTAGATCAGGAAATTCAAATTAAAAGCCTCAAAAAATTAAATTAAAATTTTAAAATTTAAAACCAAAGTTTCGTTAATAATAAAGTTGATATCCGTGATCAGCATAAAAAGCTGCGTCTGATGATGTATGTTTAAGGCTGATTCAAGAAAAAACATTTTCCTTCAACTACCTGATTCAAAGGTAGTCGGCCAAGCCGCAGTGAGTTTCTTTTTTTTCCTATATATAACAAGTCCGTGTAGAAAATTAAGAATTTCCTAAATGCAAACATTTTTGAGAAATACAAAGTACTATGGTAACCAATGAAAAATATTCTTTTTGTTTAAAAATAGAAGTACTGTAATTTAATCTGGTTGATTTCTTGGTAATCTTTTTTCTCCCATATAAATCGTCTAATCTTCGTTTTCTTTGAGTATCAGTGGCTTGTTCTGAGAGAAAATCTTCTTCTAATTCTTGATTCTCATTGTCAGTAGAAGATCCATCAAGATTCATATTCAATGCTATTGAAGTATTTTGTAAGCTTGTAACGGCTGTTGTTAAAAAAACTGATTGTTGTGCTCGTGTAGCATCCATAGGAACATGAATAATATCATTTGAACCAGTTTCTAAAAAACAATAGCGATAAATAAAGTGCAATAAAAGGGCTTTCAACTATATAAAACATATATCTTTCAATAAAAGTGTTTCGTAAAGCGTTCGAATTTGAAGTTGCATTTTGTTTAAAGTTTGAAATGAGTTACGCCTACTTACCATAACATATCACACCATTTCCTGTGTATCCCTGTCGACACTGGCATTTATATGATGCCACCATATTCAAACAATCTGCAAACTGGGAACATGGACTAATGTAATAGCCAAAATTCATGTTGATACACTCATTAACATCAATGCATTCAGAATAACTCCATCGATAACCGTGAGGACAGACACATGACCAACTTCCAATAGTGTTGATGCACGATCCAATACCGCAGGAGACACCCTCAAAACACTCATCGACATCTAAAAAATTCAGCATTAGCAGGTATACATCACTATGATGAGACTTAGGAAATGTTTACCTCGACACGTGATACCATCGCCAAAAAATCCACTATTACAGTGACATACCTTGAAAAAAAATTTCATTTTTTGTGACTGATTGCAAAGTACATTGAACAAAAAATCTTACGTAAGAACCGTACGTATTTTTGCACGTTGCATAAACTGAACAATTATTTATTGATTGTAATGCCATACTACCTTCCGGTGTGGGAATATGAAGAATATGATCAGAATTGATACCGTACTGTTGACATTCATCAATATCTAAAGTATATGTGAAGAAAATTTCAGCCTGATATATTTTTCAAGTTCTTTTGATATACCGTAACATAATCCATTTATTTGTTTGAAACCTGTTCCACATCCACATCTCCAAGAACCAGGTATATTAAAACAGGTTGTATTCCATGGACAAGAAAATTCACTCAAACATTCATTGACATCTATATTAAGAACATGATTAAGTGAATCTGTTCTAGGCATTTGAAACTCGACAGGCAGACAATTTAATTTTACTTTCGTTGAGATATTTAATCATTTAGATACCCAATGCTTACCTTCACACTTATTATGGAGTACATAGTATCCTTCTAGACATGTGCAATAATAACTACCAACGGTATTCCAACATGTTTCATTATTAAAACATGACGGTTTGACAGTTTCATCACACTCATTAATATCTCAAACGCACACATAGATACAAATATAGCAGAACAGGTTTTTTGAGCGACTCTACAACTTTTCATTACCTACACATGTATTGTTCACGACTTTGTAGCCCTTATTACAATCACATTTGAAACTACCAATGGTATTTGTGCAAGTTCCATTAACAACTGTGACAGTATCAAATGTACTAGTTGAAGATGTCTTCTCACAAATATAGCGATTTTGTAAACATTCATTGATATCTAAATATCAGAGAAAAATGCTTTCAAATGATCAGCTGATGAAGAGAAATTCTTTTGGGTAGGTCTATTGACACCCCCGGGGTGGCAGCAAGGAGCTATTGACAATCCAAAATGCACGTATACACTGCACAAATGTGTTATTCAATAAAGACCATCATCTCGAGGCAATATGGAAGTATTCTAGTGACCCACTCTCATGCACAGCCACCCCACCCACCCGAAACGGCCTCTCATAGACCGTCAAATTCAGACTTAATTCAACATAACACTTTGAATAACACATTTGTGCAGTGTATAAGTGCATTTTGGACTGTCAATAGCTCTTGCTGCCAGTTCGATGGGGGTGTCAATAGCTCCTTGCCGCCACCCGGAGGGTGTCAATAGCCATTCCGAATTTTTTTACCATTGCATATAACTCCATCACCCTCAAACCCAGGATCACATTTACAACCACCCGACGGCATAATCTTAGCCATAGAATGACACGGTTTATCTTTAGCCCAAAATGTGTTATCTAAATTATCTATCGGATCGACTTATGTTAGGAAAACAAGAAGAAATACACACCATAACAACGAAAACCATCACCCACATAGTATTCATGGCAACGACATTGTACTTCCCCAGTGGATGAGATTTCGTTACATGTTGCCTTATCACCACATGTGCCATCATTTTTACAGGAATAAATCGCTTTAAAAAGTTCAAATATAGATCAATAATAGTAATATTCACTGGAAGGAAATAATATGGAAATGTTGAAGAACTACATTTATTTAATGTACAAACGTTCTTATACTCGTAAAAACAGACTCGAATATACAACAGTATCTCTGTATCACGGTGGCATATCAACACAGTAGAAACTTCGTTCGGTGCGCTTATGTTTCCATAGAATATATTATCACGAGGTGAATCTCAATCCGATCGTCAAAGCAAGCGCCAATGCAAAGCGATTTTTAAATTAAAACACACGAAATTCGGACGGAATACCAATGAAGTAACCCTTATTCTTTAAATGACCAGGTAAAATAAAGACTTTCACCATAGCTAGTTATAAAGCGTTTACCGTGGCAAGTTTGTCGATTTTGTTGCTGATATCCTGCGCGGCAAGTGCATGTATGAGAATTTCCTATAGTAACGCACTGACTATGTGATATTGAGCAATTCGGACATAGCACTAAACCTATATGAATAATAAACAAATAATTGCTATAACATAATACCTTACACATCGTATTAACACAACGCTCTTCATATATATGAGACTTTTCTCTTACTGTGGCAATTTTCCTTCCCATCGCCATAAAACCCATTTGGACACCGACACTTGACAGAAAAAAAGAGACGGACTCATAATCAGATAAGTTACTTCACGCCAGGATAACCAAATACAAGTGTAAATCATTCAGTCAGTGGACGAAAATTCAAAACATAAATTATGCTAACAGAAATCACGATGTGACATGTTAAAATACTCACTTCATATGAGCCCAACGTATTTTCACAGATAGCATTTGGAAAACAAGGATTTGTTAAACATTCATTTTCATCTAACGAAAAGACAAAGTTTTAGTACTTCCCAGTTGCTACCAATATAAGCCAAATTTTACCATCGCAATAAAATCCATTACCGACAAAACCTTCTTGACATTTACATATGAATGAACCAATATCGTTGACACAGACACCGAATTTTGTATGACACGGATTGAAGAATTTACACTCGTCAACATCTAAGTAGTGACACAAAAGGATGGATGAATTTTTAAACCGTAGAAAATAGAATCATCTTTACCTATGCACATTTCTCCATCGTGAGTATATCCAATTGCACATTCACACCCTATAGTTCCATTTGAATGCTCAACACATAATTCATTGAAACCGCATTCACCAAGGTACAATTGACAAAAAGTTGATTCTACAGTTTAAAAATCAATACCTGAAGTTATAGTCGAAACGTTGATCTGTGAATCAAATGTATCAACATCTTTCCTACTTACGCACACATTTTAATCCGTTACTCCGATATCCCTTTGGACAAACACAGTGATATTTTCCGTCTGTATTAATACATGTGTGTTCTGGACCACAAATTTGAGTATGATCACCACATTCATCAAAATCTAAGAAATAGACGACACATTTTATACCAAAGCATTTCCATGCGAATGAAATCATTGCATGAACTACATGGAAAATTAATTCTTCATCATTTGTTACACCGGTAATTATTATAAATCTTGAATAGTTTTTCAATTTCAAAGCAACTTAAATATGTCGTTTTAGCATGAAAAGAATGAAAAGTGTTTTCTTCTTACCAATGCATCGTCCATTCGAGTAATAATATCCTGCTTGACAAACACACATATAATGACCGTCAGTATTAACGCATATGGAATCGAGAGGACACTCGGCATAATTATATAGGCACTCATTAACATCTACATATATTAAAATCAAATATCTGAAATTAATCTACTGAATTAGATAGATTGATGCGCATACAAATATCAGATCGAATCAAATCACTTTTTTGGGATTCGATTTAATTACAATTTAGAATTCAAATTTTATTTTTAAAAATTTCTGTCAAATCGAACCGAATGCACTCTGTTAAACGTCGTTTGATACAAACAGTTCATTTTTACTGAATAGTATAAAAGATTTATGCTGCTTTTTATATTAATTACTGTGAAATAAGAATACCTATCTCTCAATCTTGCTTTTTGTTTGTGAATTTTCCGTTTCTCAAATGATATGGCTATAGTCAAGAAGTCTTCTATTGATGTTCACTTGTTACATTGAATGGACGTCAATGTTCGCCTTCTGATTTCTCCGTTCCCTACAGTTCAAGTTCTATCTCTCTGCTTGAATCAATACAATACATCTACACTGAGAAATCCGTATTCTTCTAATCTTGAGCACCTGCTAGAACTATAATAATCACATAAAACAAACTCGATTATCTTTAAACGGTAAAATAAATCATCCTGTTACATTCCATGACCTTGTTTTTCATTTTCTGTTTTACTCTGTTGAATTTAAAACAGTTAATGAATGCTAGGAAGTATGAAGAATTTTGTAAAAAAACATATTCCGATATACAGAGCACTATTCGTTAGTATCCATTAAATAAATACATAAAGAATGGACAGATATAATTTGAAAATATTTAAGAATTTTTTCATATTTGACTCGAATCGAAACTTTAAAAATTCTAGTCGATTCGAATCGAACTTAAATGAATTTAAATCCTTAGGATTCCTACCTTCACAAAATATTGTATTACCAATATAACCATCTTTACACAAACCTGAAGTGTACAAAAATAATTGAAAAGAAAAACCATGGCAGCACTATTTAGTTGTTTTGGTCTGAACAAATGCGTGTGTAATCAACAACTAACATACATTTATAGCTTCCAAACATATTATGACAAACGGTATTCACTTGACATGTCTGACCGTCTAATAAACATTCATCAATATCTGTATTACAAAAAACAAAATTTGAGAAAAAAAGAAATTGATATTTTCTACCCACAAGAGTACTATACCAACACAAATTTCGTCAGTGCCTGTAAAACCGGGCAAACAAACACACTTGTAAGACCCAATAATATTAACACATTCAGCCCATTTCGAACAATTAGAGAAATAACCATAAACAGGATCACATTCATTCACATCTGGAAAATGAATGGTTAATATACATGAGCAAGAAAAAATGTGAATAAATTTTTAGTTGTCTTACCGATACAAAATGTTCCATTGAAATAATATCCTTCATGACATATACATGTATAAGATGAGACTAAACTCGAACATATACCTGGTCTACAACTCATTGATGAACAATAATCTACACCTAATAAAATAGAACAATGATTGAATCAAATATTTATCATTCTCCACAAATGAGGATCATATTAACTTCGTACTGATCATTGATGCTATACATTCAAATGAACCTAAAAATAAACATGGACAAAATTTACCATTTTACAGAGAATTCTATTGCTATTATCTACCATTTGGGAAGCGTACCACACTATTGATACTTCGACAACGTGTACAATGAAACGCACTATTTGGCAAGGTACATCCTATTAAAAGAGAATACTGAACAATTAATTTATAAACAAGACTGTATCGCAGAAACATAATAATTTAACTCTTGGAAGTTTCAATGATTTTCTTCTGTTTATAATAACGAACTTAGGTTATGCTGCTCGAATTTCTTTTCTTCTTTCAGACTAACAATGCTCATTGAGAACAATATAATCACCTAAACAATATGGATGACAATCGTATTGACATCGATGAAAATCAATAAGCCAATCTTGTTTGTGCCAGTCAGTATTGTAATTACATCGAAGTTCTATTTCTTCATGAGATGATAAGTGTTCAACATGATATTCACGAATTAATACAGATTTATCCCAGCTTAAAAAAAGTGATGTATGGATTGAAACAATATGCACTTATCTGCGCTACATTTTAGTAGTTTTGGTTTCGTTTATAAACATGATCATCTCTAACTATCAACAGCGATGATAAAAATTTAAACTTTCTAAACAAGTCGATGGCAAAATTTAATTTCTCATGATATACCTTCCAAAATTAAAATATCGAATAGTCAGTGGAAAACCATCAAAATGACGGAGATAAACTCTTGCTTCATCACCTGCAAGTGAGAAAAGAATAGATTACTTTTTTTGAATTTATCACAGTATTTTTCTACATATAACGAAGTTTACTTTCTGTCCTTTAACCAACTTCTTGAATCCTTCTTACTCAAAACGAGTTTTATACTAAAATTTTATAAACTGTTGTCAGTGTGTCGAAAGCTAGTCGAACCAATGTAATCAATTAAACAGCACCAGTTGTGACCAGTCGAACAACAATGTAATTTCGATTATGTTTTCTTATAGATTGCAGACTAAGGCAACGAGCATAAGCAGTTTCTCAAGACTAGTAAGACTTACTGAAGTAAGATGTCCAGCCATTTGCTGGTCTAACCATGCTTCTCAATTTACGATTTATCAATGACGTTGAAATACAAATTTTCTTTCAAAAAAAGATAGTCGAGCTATATTATATTGCTTCCCACAAAAAGACTCATTTTCCAGCTAAAATATCTTTTCTATTATCAGCATTTAGAATTTTCCGCTAATCAAATTTTTGTAAAAGTAACTATATCATATATTTTATTAAGCAATTTCGATGGAATAAAAGGCTTACCAAAATAATGACCATATTGTAAATAGACTCCATATGACGGTACATAATTTAATCGTGCAAAAATCCGTTCAGTGGCTATACGAAATATCTCAGCATTTGTAAAATCCTTTTCATACATATCCGACCTAAAATTATTTGGTTTCTCACACACGATGAAATATTAAATATGTATCTATCGTTTACCAAGCCATAGCATCTTGGTGTAAACCAGATATATTATGTTCTTTAAAGTCTTCTGGTATATCATAATTAATTATTTGTAATAAATTAGAGTCTATTCCACTAGCATCACCTTCCAGTGATGGATGTATACTCGTGTCATATTGTTCATCATTTCGTTTTTTCTTCTTGATAAATTGAATATTATTGTATAAGTTTTCTCGTTTTTTCCGTTTTATCGTTTCATCAGTTTCAGACAATGTATCTTGATCACTTTCATCATTATTTTCAGTCTGCTTTACATTTTGATCTTGTTGAATGGATGCTGAGGTTTGATCTAGAAGAACATTTTCTATATCCATTTGTTCCGTACAGATGATGAATTCTTTTCAAATATATTCATTTTTAACGTCTAGTTTAGCGATCATTTAGCAAAAACTCTGAACTTAATCATCAGATAGTTTCTTAGAATTACTAATCAATCGTTTCTGTGATTCTTATTACTGATACCTGTTGTATCCAGTATTCCCGAAGTTATGTTTGTTGTCAGTGGTTTTGGTGTTGACGGATAATCATAAACAATTTCATAATTATACAACCGTGCCACATCATGTAGTTCAGCTTTAATTAAATCGGGTGTAATACCTTGAATTTGTAAATTTCCGTTTAATAATGACTGATAATCATATGTTAACATTTGTCCATTAGGTAAACGAATACGTTTTTCATAATTTAAACAGAAAAAAAATCGACGCACTAAATCTGGATCTCCCAATGAACCAGATAAATAATCTTTATTGAATTTAATAACTCGTCCGCTCTTCAAATACAGAAGAAGTATGGATATTGTAAATACCAGCAAAAATACAGCTCTTTCAGCAACACTCATTTTCTACCCGATATAAGATGACTCCAAACGCTGATATCTGCAGTGTATACCAACTCGTTTGATCTTTAATTGTACCCGCTATTATGACAAATATTGTACCCGTGGATGATGCTGTAAACTTTAAACAAACTGGACTTGCTTTCGTTAAACCTGTTTCAGAAAAGTGTGTATTTCAGAGACACATTATAAATTTATGTATGTTTTACAAAAATAATAGTTTTCTTTTCTTTTCTATCTCACCTAGTTCATGTTCAGTCATTGAACTCCATTGTACATTATGAGGCATAACATAATAGCCAATATGTCGATAATTATTCATTATATCCAATGGATTTAAATACTGCACTCGTCCTATTGATGTTGAGTTATCCAATGTAAATAATGACCATAATTGATTTAATTCATTAGATTCACTTGAACTTGTGCCTGATCCATGAATACCAGCAAATGTTAAATGACCAGTTGTTTCTGAATAATCGAATCGTACACCGCGAAGAACAATCTTACAAAGAAATATATATTGTTATTAAGCAATTATTAAAATTAAGACAAGATAGAAACCTTGCGTTCATGAATCGGATAATAATATGAGTCTCTTGTTCGATAGAGACCATTGCCAGATCGTGATAACCAAGCTCCCTGGTAATAACGGAAAAATATTTCCTCACCAGTTAATAGGAATGGTTCTATATTAGAAAGAAATGACAAGTTATACTATCATAATTTATTAAAAAATTAATAAAATGACTTAAATGGCTTAATATCGAATCTTACTTGTTACATTCTTTAAAATAATTTGTACCATTAATTCAGTTCCATTCATGATGTCATCCCATTTGGGAAAAAAGCCCAATGATAAGTAACCTTCTCGCCCTCCAATATATTTATCGGCAAACGAATACATTGGCTACAATAATCGTGATTCTTATACCAAAAGACGAGTCTGCATTTATCCTTACTTTATTCCGTTCATGTTCAATAGCCTGTTTAAGTGCACGTCGTCGACGATTAAACTTTTCTTGAAATGATTTCATTGTTTCACCATATAAACAACTTCGACTAATTAAAACAAGATTTATGTTTAAAACGCGTAATACTAGGTAAACCCTCAAAAGACTCCAATAGTGCAGCCCTCAGTGTTGGACTTGAAGTATTTTAAAATAAAACAACCTACAATCGTGTTTGAACGCATATCAGCTCATGACTTGCTTCCATAAAAATTTTCCTAACGTCAATATCCAACATTTCATCTAATTGAATTAGACGTCGACTTATTGGTCGTGGTGCCTGAAGAAATTGAATAGTAATATTATAGTTGAATGAGATAAAAAACTAAAATGAAATGTACTCACAAAACTGGTACTTCTTTCCCAATCTGAAAATGCTTTTCCATATCCTTGACCGTGCATTTCTGTCCTAGAATATCGTACGAATTATGACAAAGTTATATTGTAAGTAACGTTGAAACTAACTAAACTCCTTGGCTGTACGTAATGGCTAACGAGGGAACATTCCCAGCTGTCCAATGCTGTCCAATCCAACCGATTTTCTGGAAAACCAGTTTTCCAAAAACTCTAAAAAAATAACTAAAACATTTCTTAATAAGGCATGATTGTAGCCTGAAAAGTTCTGATTAAAATGAGATGGTCCCAACTCTATACGATCGTTTTTTGCAAAGTTACAGAATTTACAAGAAAAGCCCTAAATGTTCATTGTCAGCTCAAAGCTACAGAAATAAGACGAAATCAATTTAGGGCTTTTCTTGTAAATTCTATGACTTTGCAAGGAAAGGTCGTGTAGAACTGGGATAGGTCTCATTTTAATCAGAAATTTCCAGGCTACAATCCTGCCTCATTAAGAAATGTTTTGGTTATCTTTTTAGAATTTTTGGAAAACTGGTTTTCCAGAAAACCGGGTCTTCAAGAGCCATGGGGATAAATCCTTTTAGGCTTTTTACTATCTCGATATAGGCTATCGATTGATGTATGTTTGAAAGAAATCGGAGTTGTACCCCTTATTAATAGAATAGTGTCCTGCTCATGGGATTCGCTCTGTAAATCACTTCGCGCCTGAAGTCAAAGAGTTTTCTCTTTTTGAAGGAATTCTTTTTCTTTCTTTTCTGTGCATCCGCCATCTTGTGACGGATGGACGGACAGACAGATTTTTCGTTCTATGACCCTTAGCTTACAGTCAACGAAAAAAATAAACGACGTATTAGATTGTAACTTACACCATTTCTCCGACCATATATGGACACCCACCAGTAGCAAAATCCATTACTGTTGTTGTTCCTTGCTTGAATCTAAATGTAAAATGAAAACAGGAATCTAGCTTGACTTTTGTTAGAGAGAAGCAAACAAATTTTGGTATCTTTTCTCAAAAATTTTCTTCTGTAAAGCAAGGATGAAAAAATTTCTTTTACTGTGTGGTTTTTTTTTAAAAATTAAAAAGTATTTTGGTGGTGAAAAAATGAAAATTTCAAAAAGAAGAACGGAGACATCCCTGAATGAAAATGAACTATATCCTATTGACCAAAAAGAGTGAGATTCAAGAGTTAATGGATATATTACGTGTTTTGCTTTGCATTTCTTTCTTCTTCTTTTTTCATCTCATTACTGGATTGTTCATCTTTGAAACCTGTTTCCGCTTGTGCTCCAATTACTTTATATCTTCCATTTGCGCCAAATAACACTTTGAAACACAAAAAATCCGATAAATATACAAGAGGAGTAGCATCTAACTATTGAGCAAAAATCAGAACTTATGATTTCTTATTTTCATAATAGTTCGGTGATTCTGTATTGAGTGTGCCTAACTAAGAGTTCAATGTCGACATTGTTTTAGCAAATCTCAAAAAGATTTAAAGAGTGACAGGATTGCTTAATCGGAACATATAGAAAAGAATATCCGTGAGCGAACACGTACTGCCAGATCCAGTAGCCTGTGCCCTAAAAATGAATAAGAGCGCTTATTGAATAGTGAATGTAAAGTGCGTGGAATTAAAATATACGTTTCTTTTTGACTCATTTCCTGTATTTCTTCTACCGTTGTTGTTGAATCAACTGACTTTTCAAATATCAAATAAACTCTTCCACCAAGTGTTACGTGCTGTTAAACAAAAAGTAATTGTAATGAAATTTCTATAACAAACATTCTCATAATACTTTAACATAATGGGTACCATACAAATGTAAAAATCTTCCTAGAATATAATTCATAAATGTATGATCGAATATAGAATATTATTTTTACTCAACGATATTTTGAACTGGCTTTTGGTGCATAATAGTTTTCTGGTAACAACATAAAATCAACTAAAAAATCTGGATTCAACATTGAGGGTTCAAGATCATCCAAATATATACTGTATCTAATGAAACGAGAAAATGCAGTGTAATCTAATCAATTATGCGCGTTAAGGGCGCTCCAAGAAGGGCACTGAGAAAACGCTGTGGATCGGTTGGTGCATTTTAAGACTTGTAGGAAAATGCTTGTAACTGTTTGACGCAAGACCATACAGAATTATGCGAGGCCTTATTTTGATCAGAAAAGTTTGCTCCACAAATCTACGCGTTCAGAAAAAAATTTAATTGCATAAGTATCCAGGAAAAAACAGACTCAAAAGCTTAAACATTTCTCAGTAGTGTTTGGTATGTGAAGAAAAATAATGAAAAGTCTTTACCTGGTAATAGTTGATTCAAGTACAATTTTCATAAAATATTGAGTTTTATCCGTACTAGCTGATTGAGTTTGTGTCACCTGATTGATTTGTAAGCTTGAACTTGAACCACTAGTAGTAGTTTTTCCACCGGCAATAATGAAGTTGGCCGATGTAGCCGTTTGCCAACTTGATGATTCTTCTTTGGTTAATGATGACGATGACATTCTACTAACATAATCACTTTGTTCTTTTTTAGTGGTTAAGACTGTTAATTGTTGTTTTGATTCCGTTGACGGATAGACGGTCATACCATCTGGAACGAGTTGATCGTTAAATCTATCAGAAGATTTAACATTTCAGACACAATCGAAGGTGTGACTGATGCTCTTTTATAGTTAGTTACTTTTGTTCTAGACTACAATGACGCGTTATAATACTTTTTCTTCTACATGAATCACACGGTAAATCATCTCGTAAATGATAACCAACACCTACAATATTATGATAATGCTTCAAAATACATGAAGTGTTTTCTTGTTTGTTGTTACCGATGTCTTCCGCTCCATTGATAATGAACTAAACAGAGAAGATGTGACTTGTATTTAAAACATTCATATCTATTTTGTTTCGGGATTTATAAATAATCATCTGGACATAGACGATTTCCAAAAGTTTTCTAGAACCCTTAAATACCGTTGATTTCCTCTTAATTCTGAAAGGTTACTCGATCGATAGCTGCGTTTTCCTTCATGAAACTTTTTACTGACCATAAATACTTACATTGTCACAGATTGCTGTTTTCGTTTCTAAACTTTTTTCATGTAATGTCCAACAGAGAGGATCATAGGAACGTAAAAAACATTCATTTGCAATAAATAATCCCACAGTACTTGTGCTCACTGTTTGAACGAGGTCCATACCGTTTTGTTGATTTAACAGAGAGCATCTAAACAAAAGAGTACATATAAATTTGATAAGCAAGTAAAAAGATGTAAATTAACATACTCTTTGCCAGCATCATCACTGGTCTGGATAGACGAGCCGAAGCCATACGTATCGAAGCCTACAAAGCCATTCCCTTCACTTGTTTCAATGGAGTATTTCTACAAAATGCATATGGAAAAAGATAAACGTATAGTTTTAGTCAAATCACTCAAAACTATGAACAAAAACGAGTTAGACTTCTAATATATTTCAAAATGAACACAAAAGTCCAGAGTTAAAGAACTTTGACTCCGAAGAAACAGAAACCTGATGGCCTTACATTTCTCTTACATTTAATTAGTTTGTTCGGTTTGAATCGTTTGGACTGCGAACGCGCTTTCTAAAAAAGTTCTAATCAGACTCAGACTCCGATTTTCTAACTGATTAATATATTTGATATCTCAATCGAAGCAGTATTATTCGGAGATTACAAATTTATTGCTAGTTTCATCGAAAAGTTAAATACCCAGAAGAAAACGACATTTTCGGTTTATTGCTCATATTGAAAGGTTCATTTTAAAAGTAGGATCAAGTCCTCATTAGGACAAATCCTTTTTCGCTTTGAAAAGGCACTCTTTAATATTCAGAAGATATTTTTATTAAAATATGGATTTGAAGATTATCTCGTTCGTACTCTACTCCAGACGTAATGCACACGATGTGTGATTACTAATGTGAACTTAAAGTTTTTCATCGAATTTGTTTCGGCCACGATATGACACGACTGCTCATTAAGTACTATTATTTGTAGAAAATGGTAAGCAAAATCGGATGTAATGGGAAACATCGTTTTAAAAAAGTTTGATTTTGGAGTTATAGCTGTTGAGCTGAATTGAACTCCATTTGTACGCCTCGACATTTTTTCTCTATAATGTAGAAATGGAAAGAGAACTTCTTTTAACTTTTTCCCAATTACGATGCAGAAGTGATGTCTTATATCAATCGACCCTTATTATGTACGATCCTCTCTGGTTCTCAATTTGTGATCAATCGTCCAACGTAAAGCTCATCATTCGTATCTTTTCTAAAACGTGATTTAACTCTTCCTTTCCGTCAATGTAGTTTTTCTCAAGATAATGCTTCACTCACCGCACCAGCTTTCCGTTGTTCTTCATCATCCAATTTCTGTTGATTCTTTCTAGCGTTTTTCATTGAAATGGATTCGACGACGTATGAACTTGGAGTGACAGTCGAAGAAACTCCTTTAGCAAAAGAACAAGATCTCGAATAAAATTTTTTATTAAGAGAAAGATTTAAATACTTGATGCTATTTCATCTTGAAACTCCTACCAAAAACGCATAAATCTACGTTGTAAAATAAATATATGCTTAATATTCTGTACTGACCTCCAATGATTGTATTTTATATGAACCTTTTTCTAAATTGCTCGGATTCGCATCGGCTTGTTCAGCAGCTAGACTTTTCCGTTCATAATATCTAAATTACAAATAAACAAAAGAAAATGGTTTAACATTCTGAATTTTAAAAGTAAATAGACATGACCGTCTGCAGACGGTCATGTCGAGTATATGCAGAGTCTGCATATACTCGTGGCTAAAAACTGTTACGAAAGAGGCTTTAAACGATATAATACAACGTAGAACGTTGAATAGTCATTGATACAGAGAAAACGCATATGGCACAATAGCAAAAGAAAGTAGATCCTGTTACTTACGCTTTTAGTCTTTTAATGATGCTCTGCTCTAGTAAAATAAGATAAACATTACTAACTAACAAATAGCCATGTGTTTCAAATATAAACAGTTGTCGTTGTTTTTTTGGCAAGTTTTAAGAACAAAAATAGTGGAAGTTAAATAACGAACTCACTTGTTTTTGGATTTTCTTCCCCCATTTCCTTGTTCAATACACTTTCTTCTTTTTCTGGAGAAAATGTTTCTAAACCGTCTAAACGACATTAAAATTAATCCGTGTTTTCTAATTCTAAGACTTATCAACAGCGGTTGCTAGATGTTCTGTCGTATACTTTTATAACACTTAAAAAATAAATCAGAATCAATGTTAGTTTTTGATTTTTCACTTCGTATTGGTGATGCAGATCTGTGAAGCGAGCACTAAGGACTTCTGTGTTTTCAGATAGAATTTAGCATATTGGTAGAGTTACACACTGAATTTGTGAAAAGTTGAACACTCACTAGAATCAATATTTCCCTCTGAAAGGAAAAGAAACTTGGATAATTTTCTTTCAAAAACACTTGTGTGTTCGAACTTGACAAGTCATCTTTAGATTTACCCAACTTTCTTTGCTTTGCTGTTTCACCAATATTTCTATTTGTTGCTTGTTTTTTTCCAAGTGCCTTCAATTTTTGACTTAATCCAACTCGAGATTTTGATTTCGAACCCATTGTTGGAGTTTTACGTACTATATTTTTAAGTCCACCTGATTTACCAGCACTCTTTCCAGCAATTTTCACACCTTGTAACAGTGCACCCAAACCACGTCGATTCAATCTGTTGTAAATGATATGAGTTAAATTTTGATGTGGATCAAGAACAAATACAGATGGTCCACTGTGCTGTAGACTAATACTAAATTTTACGTAAAAAATCAGTAGAAAAATAGACCAAGGATACATCGCATGAGAATTGATAAACGAAAGATACAATATGAACCATAAAAATAATATACAGAGGCAACTTTCAGCGTCTGGTAAATTAAATGGGCTAACTCAATTACCAAGAAAGATTAACGTGCGTGTAATTAGAATGTCATACTGTATGTGTTAAGGAAAATAGCCGACTTGCGTAAACATTGAATTTTGAACCAATAGGTTGTTGAACTAGTTGATTATCCAAAAGGATGAGCATGTGTGAGCAAAAAATAGTCTAAATACTAGTGAGCTCGGAGAAAAAACACGTTTTTATTTCTTTAAGGCACATTATATTTGTAAACAGTATCTATTCTGAATCCACATACACTTAGCTATCTATCAATGAAAAAATTTTCACTTGGATGCTAGAATCTAGGAGAAAAAAATTAATTTCCGAACTAATTATCGTTCCGTATAGATGCTTAGAATGTAATGAGGTCGTGCAAGTTAACGCAGATCGGATCTGATTCAAAATTATATCAGCATGTCCGTGGTCATGTCCTGCATTCATTATGAATGCGGTTTTTCTACTAGACTTTGATATGAGTTTTCCAAAAATCCTTGGTTTTTGGAGTAAAATCACTGTTTCTAGACTCAAAAACACTTTTATTAAAAATTAATAGCATATTTGGACTTAACGCATGAAACTGCGTCGAATGAGGTATCATTTATTAATTTTACAAATAAAAAATTTGTTGACAAAAAATTAGGCAGCGATTTTTTAAAAGTCGAAAAAAATGGTTTTTTTTATATTAGCATCTGAGACATAATTAAGCAATATAATGCGATAATAATTGTTTTTTAACTAAAAGAAACCACATGTCCGCCCGCTCTATGGATAAATGCCTAGTGTGAGTGGATATTGATGAGGATATATGACAAAAAATCGAAAGTGACAGTATTCCAGATTCTATTACATGAATGCATTATACCGGCACTATTTGTCGACGTAAAAGATTTGAATTTAAATAAAGGAGAAAATAGTTATCATAAAAAATAGCTCAAATAACAAGTAAATCTCATATTTTACTTTGAAAAAATATCACGCGATAATCAATGCAAATGAGACTGTCAATTTTGAAAAATAGTCTCTTAATTTCATATTAATGAAACAATCAAACACTTTCGCATTATGAATTTTTTTGTTTTTTTGGTGTCGTTTATCAGCGACCTTTGTTCAGCAAAGTGTAAACACTGTCATTAACCCCCTTCCAAACTTAATTAGATCTACATTGTTTGTTTGATTATCGACTATGACACAATGGAATGACATGTCCAGAGACACAAATGGTAAAGAAACTTCCATTGATAAACTGAATAACTGAAAAATTAAAATAAGGTTTCTGTCTTCAGAATCTTCAGGAGAAACTATCCGACTCCTTCAAAAGCCATGACAAACAAATATAGTATGTTCGAAAGTAACTTACATACATAATTCTGGCTATCCAAACATGTCTAAATCTCAAAATTGACTTTTCTGACACAGAGCCTTTGAAAGCAGGATTTCCTCGTATTTCATGATCAAACAGAGTCAATGGTTTATAATATGAATTAAAAGAGAGCAGATAAAAGAAGTTGTCAGATAAGGAAAATGCATGATGGACTCGATACGATTGCTGTCAGACAGAATCTTTGATCACAAATCTACACTTTAATGTCAGATTAATAGTTTGTTATTAACATAATTAAAGTAAAAAATTATAGTTAAAATTATAGTTAGCCTTTTGAAGTCATAAGGTTCAAGCAGAATGAGATTTGTAATGATCATTGTAGGTCAAGGTGGTTTTGTGGTGAAATATAAATTCTTTTTTTCGAGATGCTGTATCATGGATTATTTTATATAAAAACTTCATAATTTATATACTAATTGGGTTATTAACAAGAAGGCTGATTAAGACTTTGAATTTAACGTGAACATTACAAGAATAGTTATCAGAAAATACTTATACTGTATATGTGCAATATAAGAAAACTACTTCAGCCGTTTGTAATCATAAGCAATGCGAATTAAAAGATCGAATGTAGAAAGAAGTAAAACAGTAAAACGGAACAGATTTTGGTTCTTTCAAAGAATGAAAAGTCTAAGATCCATATGTGGAGCAAACGAAAGAAGACGATTTCTGTTTTTGAATAACTTGTAATTTTCACGTTAAATTCAAAGTCTTAATCAGCCTTCTTGTTAATAACCCGATTAGTATATAAATTACAAAGTTTTTATATAAAATAATCCATGATAGAGCATCACGAAAAAAGAATTTATATCTCAATGGTAGACTGAACTACTTAAGTCGTGAGGTGAAAAACCAGCTCTTAATTAATACAGCGTTTCTCAATGAGGCCATTTTTTTCCTGTGTATCGTAGTATTATTAGAACAGATTCACTGCGTCAGTTTGTTATTGTGTTTTGCTATGGATGCGAGATCTTTGATCAGAAAAACGCTATGTAAATCAAACAGCAAGATTTTTCGTATAAATGAGAAACTACACAGTAAAAATTAAAATGTGTTGCATGTTTGTGTTGTCGTTATTAAGAACTCTTCAAAACAGTTCTTGAAGCCATTTCAGGAGCTAACGCTGATCAAAAGGTTGCCAAATTTTATATTTTACTATCCTCAACAGCCTTCATTAGGATTTTTCTCGGTTTCTCTTCAATTTTGACGAGCTGTAGATGGCGTCACTATGTAAAAGATAACAACATTTTCGGGCTTTCAAGTTCTTCTAATTTCCAATTCATATTATTCGTGGATGGAGATTCCTCTCTAAGCCTTTTTAACGTCTTTTTTACGTTAAATATTTTTTCTCTGACGATCAAGAAGCAATCCGATGCCTTGACTACACTATCAATTCCAGATCTCAAAAAATAAGTATCTTGAAGACCTATGACACAGACAGATTGAACTTGTCGACGTTATGCAGTGCACTCAAAACGAACTTAAAATAATTCTCAAAATCGAACAAGAGACCAAAAATACTTAATTTCGACTGTTTTCTCTATGGTAGGAATACTCAGTGGAATGTGTCGCAGTCTCAATGTAAAAAACGTGTTGCAAGTGTCGCAGAATATGTCACAATTTCCAACATATGCGCCACATTCGGTTAAGTTCAGTCCAGTCATTTTGCGTATTGTCTCTAATTTGTTCTTCAATTATAAACACCATAAAAAAATGCAGGCAATTACCAATGGACTAGAACAGAGAAGAATCGCCATTAGGTACACAACAAGTTCGTTCGATTTTGCCTATTAGTGACAAGAAATGAGTACCACATATCCGTACCACATCTCATGTTCGTGACAGAGTTTGGAAATGGATCGGTCTATCCTAACACTACTAACTGAATCACGATAGCCCCAGACGTGGATGTGCACTACTCTCTAAAAAAATCCGTAGCTTACAAAACGAATATCGGTTTTGGCATTTGCTCCTAATAGAAACCGATATCCGTATCGTACAGTCCTGCATACCCGTTTCGCAGAATACGTTTCAACGTTTTTTCTCTGGTA